TAGGTGTGTACCCTTATGAAAGAATTCTCGCTGAAAAGGCATATCACCTGAAGATTAGCGTTTCTGCACCAGAGCTCAGCTGTTGCTCAAATCCGTTCGAAGTGCTCAAATATTGCACTGTATAAAAATTATCATTAGTCGAATCTTTCACTTCAATTTGATGGGCATCTGCTTATTGCATAGCTAGCCGTTCACAGCTGTCCATTTGAAAAATGCTTCACTTTTCGACAGACTTCTTAAGGAGCTGTAGAATTCTCTGCTGCCTCGCACGATGGAATGAAAATATCTTTAGGCAAGATATAATAGTCTCTATTCACAGGATCGTTACAGAGACATTTCTGTCATCGCTGTTGAAAAAATCTGCCATATAATCCGTCTTGTTTTCACTTAGTTGAAGCCTGCTCTTTTTTATATAATTCTGTCTTTCTTTCGGTTTTTGCTTCTTCTCCCATTCTGTTCCGGCTACCCAGTACCGTTTCGTCTGCATATGGCAGGTAACATGGTGATACTTAAAAATGTTGCAAGCTGTTGCATCAGTGCTAGCTAAACGCTTAGCTAAACATGGCCTTCGACGAATTTTGACTACGACACAGAGAATTCGTTTGTTGCACCAAATATACTTCTTACGCCGCCACCCCGTCTCATGCCTGTGAGTAAATGCAACATTTCTTTCTGGCATGAGCCTGTTCGTTCTGTTTTGCTATACCGCCTGTCGTTCTAAATATTAAATTACAAACCTTTTCAAAACAAAGAACACAGTGTGAATGACCATGCTTCACTCCTTACATGTTTTGACGACACATCTCACAGTAGAGATGGCACCATCGTTGACCGTCAAGTTAAGTTGGTTTCAATGACATCGACCTCGTTTTCGGCCTATTTTTCAATATCCTTTGGTAAAACTTCTTGGTACGTCGAGCAAGTTAATTTTACTTTATTCTCTACTTTCGTTTTTATATTCTTCGTACTAGCGCGGTTTTAAACAGTACGCCGCTGTTTGAGTCAACAACCTCCATGTTGTTGGTCTTTAGTCATATCTGCGGTAACCCCTCGTTGCTGTGTTGTTCTTTACGACATTTGGCCATTTATTCTTTGGTCTTTCCCTTCTTTTCTTCCTTGGCAGTATTATTGACGCTTGGACCACATTTTCAACGTTGTAGTCGGATCTTCTTTCCATATGGCCGAACCAATTGAGTCTGCTTTCGAAGGGCATTTATGCAACTGGCAATAAAGAAAATCCAGTTATGGATATACATATACTAGCATCATAATGTTAATCGCATCAATCGCTCGACTGTCTCCACCACATTCCTTAAATAACCGACTGTAATATTTAAAATTCTTCATATACACCGATGAACCTTACGAGAACATATCTAAAATTAAACGTCATTCAAATTCATTACAAATCAGTCGTCAAGTCTGATCGACATCAGAACAGCAGCGTTAATAAACAACAGCCTTTCGGACATTCCACTGTTCGTTTTAATGCCAGCCTAACTTAACTATGACATATTGTTATTAGCCAAAATATTAGACATAAAGAGTAAAAATTCTAGTAAAATTATGAACAGTCTTATCACTAGAATTTAAACGAAAAAGTGGAACAAGCGGTAAGAATGAGCATGTGCATGCAAGAAGAAACATGTAACATGGTGTCATGGTGCATGCTATAAAAATAAACTCATGCGTTAACATGCAAAACCGAAAAATGATCAGCAGCAAC